TGATTATTCCAGTTACAGTCGCTTCTGCTGAACGTTCTTTTTCTAAGCTCATAAAAAATTATCTTAGAAACTCAATTTCACAAGACAGACTTACGAACATTGCAATTCTCAATATTGAAAGAGAAAAAACCTCAGAACTTTAAATTAACAAAATTATAAACGACTACAGAAATTTAAAGTCAAGATAAAACAATTTTCTTAAGTAGTTTCAACGTTTTTATTAATTGCAATGTTCGTAAGACTGTCTTGTGAAATTGAGTTTGTATTGTTTCTAAGATAATTTTTTATGATTAAAAGTATTTCAAATAAAATAAAATAAAATTATGATAGTTATATAATATTATGCATTATTAAATATTTGTATATTACCTAGTACCTACTATTTAATAAGTACCTAATTAAAAGTGATAAATGTAAAATGATTTTATTTTGTGGTGATCATTACAACATGAATAATATATTTTGTGTTTTTTATTTAATGTTATTCTATAAACGTATCATACTTTTATAGTATTTAAATGATTAAATGTACCTACATTTATAAAATTTATATATATATATATATTTATATTTATATACCTACATTTTAAAAATACCTAGGTACCTAAAAATACTTACAAGATGTGATTAATTTATAAATGTTTATAAATGTTGCTAGGTTGCTTACAAGTAAGTAATGGGTAAACAATAAATATAACCTAATCATTAATAAGGATAAATCATATTTTATCACTGCTTATTTTTTATTTTTTTGGAGGGCCCATTTTAGTCTTTGCACACGGGCCTCCAATGGCCTATTTACGCCACTGAGTATAAGTATTAAGGAACTAAGGAAGGTAGCATGTAGGGGTGAGTAGTGTACGCAGGATTTTAGTTTTGTTAGGGTTTTACCAAAGATTTATCACAGACCTGTGGGAGGGGGGAGGGGGAGATTCATCTCCATTTACATAATTTTTTGCTAAATAGTTTGTATATAATTGGATAAGACAAACTATAGAGTTATTCTCAAATTTAGTTTACGGTTAGAGTACCTCAACGTGTTAACATGGTCATCTATTTAGAGCCTCTTCGGTTCATAATAAATGTGCTAATAAGTAATAATAGATAATATAATATAATTATACAAAATACGATGATTATGATTTATGACCGACGCATAGGCGTGCGCACGGGGCGAGCCGGTCAAACCCAGGCTCGACCTGAAACTTTTTAGGGGCATAGTAAAATGTGCGTATATATTTAAATATTTTATTATAATGCTCATATTATAATAATATGTTCGTGGAGATCATGAAAATTTTGTTTCTCGTGAAAGTATAAAAAAATCAAAAATATTTGTGTGTACCTACCTAACCTAACCATTACATACATTTTATTAATCTAAAAAAATACAGTATACCTTTATAGGTACAAATACAATAACTATAGTACTATAGACATTAATAGGTTAATATATTATCAACATGTATGTTGGTGTGTTAAAAAAAAAATTAGGGGCGCAGTCCAAATATTAGGGCACTATAATTGTCTAGGCTCGACCAGAAATTTAAGTCTGCGCACGCCTATGGACCGACGCACTATGTTTCTCGATGATATTAACTTTTTTCAATTTATTTTATATCTATTAAAAATGACTTATAATTTATTAATCTAATCTGAAGACTAGTACGAAATAAGATTTTTTTGTAGAAGGAATTTAAGAGAAGGGTTTAAAACTATAGAAACCCCTTTACCCCTGGGTACACCACTGAGTGCGAAAAGAAATCTAAAAATATGTTTATATACGTTTATTTACGCCCTCCCCCCCCCGACATTAATATATACATACATAATTAATTTTATAAAAATAAAAATAATACATTTGAATTACATATTATTTTTTTGGACCCACCAGAAAAATTTTGAAAATCCGCCACTGTTTATATTTGCTATGAAGTTTACTCTGGGATTCCAACCGTCATATATTAGGCAGGGCAGTCCTACATCTATTGAACTATTTTACTGCAAGCAACTTGATGCTCACGCTAAGTGTATTGTAACAGATGTTGGAGATTATGGTCGGTCTAGTGATAGTGGGATTTTCAAAGAATCCTTATTTGGTAAACAATTAATTCAAAATAAATTAGATTTGCCGGCACCAAAAAAAAAATTGATCAAAATATTAATAAAGATTTCCCTTTTGTATTTGTTGGCTATGAGGCTTACCCACTTTTACCTAATTTGATGAGACATTTCCCTCGTAGAAATTTAACAAACGAAAAACGTTTATATACAACAAACTATCGACAATCAGAATCGTTTTTCTTATACAATGATATAATATCATTGAATTCAAATGTAATATCATCCATTATACAGTGACCCACTTGTAACCTACTTTACAGCAGAGCGACACCCACTTGCCCACCTTTTTACTTTTGACACCCCTAAGTGCCAACTATTTCCTATCAGAAAAGATACTGTTGAAGAAAATCTAAGCCAGGGGCTAAAATATTGTGTCCCCTGACAAACTTTGTGACCCCTGAAAATCAAAATGTGTCCCCTGATTGACAAATGTGTGTCCCAAATTTTATGACGGGTTTTTAGTTTTGTAGAAATAACAAACATTAATCATTTAATATTTTAATTTAATAGTTACCTGTTCTGTTAACTTAAGTAAATTACTTATTTAATTTCTATACTATGGACAAGTTTATTAAAAAAAAAAGAAGAAATGATAATGGGTCAATAGAAAGTAAGTAGGTACTTGCCTTATTATATTAAACAACTAAACATACAAGTACATAAAATATTTAAATTATTCTATGTTGTGTCTATTAAAATACAATATTGTTTACTGAAACCTAGGTACTGAAAAGTTAACTATTAAAACTTAAGAGCATTGTAAATTATAACATATTATAAATATGTATTTTTATTTATTTTAAGTCTGAAATATTATGTTAAAATATTTTTTAAAAAAAAACAGATAATTATAATCATAAATTGGACTTTGAAGAATTAGCTAATTATTTTACCTTGCTTAATAAATAGACTAGTCAATAGGGGGTTTTGCCTTGCAATAAATACAAAAGTTTCGCCTTGGGACGCTGAATGTTGATTGACAAAAAAAAATCGCCATCCTCCGAGGTCCGCAACCGTCCGCCAGCTTGGATTTTATGTGAAATTTTTCACTTTTTTACGGTTTTTTTACAATATCTCTAAAATGAATTACTTAACGATGCCAGCGTTTCCTCAGCACCCCCACTCAAGAAGTTTGGAATAACTAGAAAACCGTTGAGTTAAAAACGATTTTACTTGAGGTACAAACGATTGGTATAGGTTTTGAATCAACATTTTTAAGTGGAAGTGCTGGGGACATGAACCCCTCAGTCAGAATCTAAAATGTAAAAGTATCCAATTAAAATATAAATGTAACCTTTTAATATAGGCTATTATAAGGATCTTCTCTCAACGTGCCGAAATAGCTCAGTTGGGAGAGCGTTAGACTGAAGATCTAAAGGTCCCTGGTTCGATCCCTGGTTTCGGCAAAAACTTTTTTGTTATTTTCAACCTTATATGACTTGTAATTTTTTAATAATAATTCAATTGGATTTTATTGTACCAATCAGATATTTCAATATTTACCATGATATTATTGTATAATATAATAAATTTAGAAGTAAAAAGGCAATTTAATACCATGGCTTAAATATAAAGAATAGTAATTTATTTTTTCTTTAATATTTAGATTTTAGTCTCTAGTACTCAATTTAATCGATAAACATGCAATATAAAGCACATTTGGCAACAATGTAAAAGTACTATCACAGTATCACACTTATTATTTTGTATTTTGTACTAGCTGGTATGCCACATTATTTATATTACTATTGAACAGTAAAGTTAGTAGTTAGTACCAAGATTAAAGTACTGCATTATTATATAACTATTGTATTTCTATAGATAATAATTATTATCAGTTAAAAATTGTTACTCAATACATTTTATCGTAATTATTATTGACATTCATCCGAAAACCACCAATCATTACCATTATAATATATTCTATTGTTGCTACCAAGTTCTGCTTAGTATTTTAGTTTTTGGTATCGCACGTCATACTAATATGGCATACAGTTAACCTATATTTATTTTAATTTCACAGTAGTTTACAGCAAGTTAAAGGTTTCAAATAATTATGTTTGTATTTTTTGAAGTAAGTTAATTACCATTATTTCATTTAAAAAGATCAACAGCATTCTGTTATTCTAAAATTATTACGATTTAGTTCCACGAGCTTTTTTTTTGTATTGAAGTAGTCAAAAACGTCAATGGACGTCCTGCACATTTATCTTTTTATGCGTGTTACTAATGGTATTTTGTGTATAATTTAGTGTTTGTAAATATTCTCTTTCATAAAGAAACTTTTTTGATTGTTGAATTTTTGACCAAGACTGACTAATTTAATTTCAATAATTATTTATTTTATACATAATTTAAATTATGGAATTCATCTTAAAATTAATATCACCCTTAATTTTATCAGTATTTCATACTGTCGAATATGAGACTTAATTTAAATTATTTATTCTTTTTACCTTAAAAATATTTATTTTTATAATGAAACCACACTCATAGAATATTTAAATTTATGTGTATAACTACTACATTATAATTTATATCCAACTACATTTTTTATTGTTTTGTTTTAAGATAATTTCAGATAAAACAAAAGGTGAATCTAGTCTTGAATCAAAATTATGTACAACACTCAAGAACTATTATGGACACACAACAATGTACGGCTTCATATTTTGATATTTTATGAACTTATACCACAACTAGATCAATGCTTCTCTTTTGGTGTCGGGGAAACTTATCTTTCTAAGCTATAAAATGAAAATAAGTTAAATATTAATTAATTTTATTATTATAAACTTTATCTTATATATATTAGTGATAAACAAGCATGAATAACACTTTTAACAGCTAAACACCGCATCAACGCAATATTAATTATGGGGGTTGTTAAGAAAAACAAAACTGTGGTTAGGAAAAGCCCTAGACAGCATCAATGCAAGTATTGTTATAAGATTTTCCCATTTCCCAACGTGTTGAAAAAGCATTACAGGGTCCATACGGGTGAACGACCGTATGAGTGTGATTTATGTGGAAATAGATTTACACACCAGAATACTCTAAAAAACCATAAGATGTGCATTCACAATTGTGGTCGGGAAGAAGATTTTACTTGTGGTCATTGTGATAAAAAGTTTCCAATCAAGGAACGACTTATTGAACACGTGCGCATTCATACCGGATATTATCCTCACAGGTATTTTTTCTTTTTATTACCAGTTAATTTGTGTGTGAAAAAAAAACAGGTATATTAGGTATTTTAGTTAAAATACTTTTTTCTTTTTCAACTATAAACTGTAGATAACATTATTTTAATTTAAAATATATTCCTTGATTTTAATAAACATGAAGAGCAGTAAAAATAGTTAAAATAGTTATTTAGAATACATATAACATATAATACAGAAAAATATTGGTAAAATTACCTTAGTTTTTAAGAAAATACTGGTGGTGGATTTTCAACAAAATAATTTTGGGGCCGTTCTTACAATGCCCGGTTACGTGTTGGGTAACGCTCACCCGGCAGATTTCTGCCGGTTAAGTGTCCATTAACTTTAACCGTCCATTGTAAGAACAGAACGGCCCTAAATGTATGTATTTTTTTTCCAGATAATAATTGCTATTATATGCTTGTAATTTTGTTTTATGATGATTTTTTTTCTTTTAAGTCTTATAGATTTATTTGAAAATTATTATCTGTGATATTTAAAACTAATTAAATTAGTATAATTGTGCATATAAATATAGTTCTACCTTATTATTATACCTACATATTTGTACAATATTTTACTTTTACTGTCATTAGCCAGAATCTATGTTCTATAATCTCTTTTATTAAAATAAACTGTAATCACATAAATATTTCCTATTTTACTTAACGATTTAGTATATTATATTGTAGTATTTTTGTGTGAGTAAAAAAGAACTTAAACTATTTTAGTAAGCTAAAATGTTCATTTTGCAGAATTATACTTAGGTACACCCTAAATTAATGATTTAATAAAACAATGTTAGGTACTACTGCAAATACTGCAAATAAAAATGTTTAAAAAGATTAAACTATGCTATAATAATACTACTGAAAAGTAATAACATTGATTTTATACTGTTGGACTTGGTTAACTTGAAGTTGAAGGAACCGTCCAAAAAGTTCAAGTTATTCAGGAATTTGAGTTATCCGAGGATAATACAATAATTGAAAATTCTAGAGATCTGAAAAAAGTTTGATGTTTTGAAGATTTTGAGTTTAAAAAGTTAACCAAGTTTGACTATAATATTAAATGGAAAATAAATACATATATTTAGTACCTCTATTTTGGATTAAATTAATATATTGTACATTATTACTTTTATTTTTATAATATTAGTTTAAACATGTTGTGTTAGTTTGATTACTATTATGCTCACAAATATTTGTATTCACTTATTCATTTAGTATGATTAAGAAGTTGTTATTTCTTCTATTTATTAATTTTGTATTTGTATTATTATTATTTTCACTTCAATTGGTATTTCTTGAGCAATTTCTATACATTTTTTAGATGCGACAAATGCTTAAAATCCTTCACACGAGCCAGTCAACTATGGCAACATGCGCGTTCTCATAACAAACAATATACACTAGAATGTGCAATATGTCATCAATTATTTGCTTGTCGTTCAGTTCTACGTGGCCATATGAAACGGCATATGGGACAAAATGATTATGTGTGTGAAGTGTGTGGAAAGGCATTTTTACGTAGGGATGGTCTAACTAAACATCTATCTAGCTATCATAATAATATCAGAGCATTTACATGTAAAATTTGCAATAAACAGTTTAAAGGACATATGATACAACATTTGAGGACACATCGTCATGAAAAGCCTTATGAATGTAAAAGTTGTGATGCTCGTTTTGTACAACGTTCTCAACTTACAGTACATGAGAGAAGACATAGTGGAGAAAAACCTTATCCATGTCCAGTATGTAAGGTATCCTTTGCACATTCTACAGCTATGAAAATGCATGTGAGACGTCATACTGGAGAAAAACCTTTTAAATGTCTTGTTTGTACCAATACAGCTTTTACACAACTACCACATTTAAAAAAACATATGTTAACCATACACAAAACAGACAAACCATACTTGTGTGTCAAGTGTAATTCATATTTCAAAACAAAAACTCAAATAATAACTCATGAAGAAACATGTTCGCCAAAACAAGAAACAAAAGAATTTATTCCTCCTGGTATGGCTTTGGACCGAATGCGGATGTTATTGGCAGTTTTACTGATACGCATATCAACCACTGAACGCTTAAATGCATTAGGGTTTGGAAAAAGACTTATTGATTTGGTATTATGTGATTCTATTGAAAATTCTGGCCGTAATCCTTACCGTGGTAATGGTCAAAGTGAAAATGATTTGTTGAAAAAGAATATTGAAATATTATTAGACTGGACTGTCCCAAAAATGTATATGGATCGGTTCAAAAGTGAAAGACGTACGACTGAAGAAATTTTAGAGGAACTAACATCATGACTCTAATATATAAATAACCTGCCGATTACTTGTTAGCTTTTTTATAGATTAAGAAAAATTTTAGCCATTATCTGGTTTTATTATACAGTTTTATAATATACCTTAAAATGGCAAAAATTTACCTGATCATGAATCAGATTGCATAGTATAATTTATAAGCTACTTGTTCTTCCACAACTATCTTGCAACGCTCTATTTATAGCTCAAAACTGGTGGCGGTAAATTTGAGTACAAAATGTTAAATAATTCTGAATATTTATTGTAATATAATGTGTTCAAATTGAGGGATGTTAATTTTGTATTATAATACAATTTATAAGAGTAGTCAGTAGAACTTATGACTTATTAAGCTTTTTCAATAGGTAATGGAAATATTAACTTATTAATATTATATTGGTGTTGGTTTTCACAGATGATAATACTATAATAATGTATACCTCTCCCCCTTGCTTTTCGCTGTAACTAATTTATTATCATGTGTAGTTTGATTTCAAACATATAGTTAAAATTATTATTTATTCAAACCAAAATGAATTGTTTTTAGGTGTTATGTTAACAACTTGGATGCCAAAGTTTAGAAGTTAGCTAATTTTTATTTTTATTTAATTTTTTTTTTAAACTAAAGACTTAAGCGGATTACCAAAGAATAACATTCTAGTCACACCAGAAGAATGGTGAGAGCCGCTACTTTATCATAGCTATCTATTCATACATTTTACATTAATTTAAATTTGTTGACATTTCAAATTATTTTTATTTTTCCCCCGATAAAAATGCATTGAGTTCCAAGTATTTAAAAATTAATTTTTCGTAATTCCTTAGCATCAATAAACAATTATTTTTTATAGGTATACGATGTATAAGTTAATGAAAAACATGTAGAATATTCTTACTTTCATAAACTTTAACTGTATAATGGAAATATTTAATATATGTATATGTATTATATTTGTTACTTTTAGTTAAAAATTAATTTTTGTTGTGTTCATTTTTTTTATGGATTATATTTAATTGTTTTATTAAAAATATATTGTATTTATAATTATTTTATAAATTATTTACTAACATTTTAGAGTGTGAAAACTAGTGAATTAATTATAAATAACCTAGTTTATTGTTAACTGTAATTTATTCTTTAGGTTACCAAAAGTGTGCAAATTATGCTATGTATCATATTATATTATAGTTTTTTGGGAATTTATGTTATTTGAATATCTTATTTTTGTTTTGATTTAAAAAAAAAAGAATATCTTAAAAATCAATTGTGTATATTATTTTGCTTTTGACCTTAAATTAATTTTAAGAAGAAAAATACCACTTTTCACTCATTACAATTTCTCAAAAACGTATTAACTTAAAATTTAGAACTGGTAACTACTAGATTTTTAAAAATTATAATTTTAAAGAAACTATGTTCTGATATCGAATATTATTTTTTATTTTATAAACGGTTGTCATTAGTTACATATTATACATTATGTATAACTAAATAACAAGTAGACGAATACAAATATATTATGTCAACGAATTATGAAACAGGATACAGTAATCTCAATCCAACATTTTTAGTTCCTGCCATCTTTATTTTTTAATAAATATGATCCACATATAACCACCTTCAGGCCTAAGATAATAATTCTACGTAATTTCCAATAAAATTGTTGGGATTTCCGATCAAAAAATATAATATTATGATTTGTACCCTCAACTGTGGAAACGCTCTGAGTTTACGTATCGGCCGGTGTTGCTAGCTCCCAGGATTTTTAACAAATCATTGCCACACAAAGTGTTTCAATCAACCGTTCCTCCCCCCTACAAAAACAGTTAATGGCCATAGTTGCCGGGCTTAAGCTCAAAAAAAAAAATAATTATGATTTGTGATCTTCATATATCAGATTATTGAGATTACTTTACATAAATAATAACAATTACTATTTGCATTAGAATAAACAAATTAAAAATTAAAGAAACATTTTTTTTTATTACATTCAGTTTTAATACATTAAACATTTTCACTAACTTTCCAGTTGTTAGGTATACTTTTTTTTTTTTTAATACTAGGTTTTAATTGTTTGTTTGAAACACCATTAATTGGAAGTTTTCTTTTAAGAATTTGTGTCTTATCAGGAATAGCTACGCCAACAATAATATCATTTTTAACTTCAGGTTCTTCATCAGACTCATCCTTTACCATCTTAGATTTTCTGTAAAAATAAAATTGATTAAATTTAAAAAGTTTTTTTTGAAGTGAAACTTCTTATGTGAGGGGTATCGAAAAAAAAGAGAGTGACGCTCTGACCGTCACGGACGCTCGGGCGTCACGAAAACGGTACGATGTTTTGTTTATAAACAAACCAGTATAAACGTATAAACAATATTCCGTAGTCAAGTTGATAAAAGCGAAAACGCATATATAATAAATATTCCAGAGTGCGCGATGAGTAAAAGAAATGTCGCGGAATATGAGAGTTCGGCCGGAACATTATAAAAATATATATAATATACTATTTTTAGGTGAGTCAAATTATGTATATTAAAAATATAACTCGATGAATTTAATCATATTATATGACTATACTATAAGTATTTAATAAATAATAATAATAATAATTAATATTTAGTTAATACTTGACACATTTACAATGACCAACGCAACTATATTTTTCAAATAGTATATAATACTCTGATGGTTCAATTGTATAATGATATGACATAATTTGATATTACTCAATATATGTGTCTATGGTCTATCAAGTATATTTATTTATTTAATATCAAATGTAATAATTTATGAATAACAAATTGATATATATATTATGTACCTACATAATATGACTAATGTATTTTATAGATGTATGTATATACATAATAGTAGGGTTATATTATATGTATGGACATGAATTACTACTGATATTAGTAAATATTTTGGTCCATTGGTCTAAAAGTATAAATTAAGTACCTACACATAATATTATAAAGGTAGGTAGTAGGTATTACTTAATGTATTACGGTTTTTAGGTGAGAAAACAAAATATAACTTAATGTATTTAATTAAATTCTGGCAGGTAAATTGCATAATGGTATGACTAAACTATACTATACTAATTAAACTATTTAATAAATAATAATAATAAATATTTAATTAATACTTGATTTCATCTACATATTTGCCATTACCAACGTACCAATATGTTTCCTTTATACTTGGATAGAAAATGGTACAAGTACAATTATTTATATCAGCGGTTCCCAAACTTTTTTAGCTCACGGCGCCCTTTTTGAACTAAACTTTTCTCAAGGCGCCCTTCCCAAGACATAGCATGAATTTATTTTTAGACCAGGTAAATTTCTACGGCGACGCGGCGCCCCTGAAAAGACATCGGGGCGCACCAGGGCGCCGCGGCGCACAGTTTGGGAACCGCTGATTTATATTATATATAAGTAACCTACATGTATACTTTGCAGAAGGTACCTACTTGATATATCATTATTAATACCATAAATATATATATACCATTAATTAACATAAGATTATTATTATTATTATTATTATTACAAAACCTCATATCAGTTGTATGACTGAAAGAAGTTTCACTTCATCCCCGCGTACTTCTTACACGCTCGACTTTTTTTTTTTTGATAAAGGTAGACTTATGAAAAAATTTGTATTACATTTTCAAATATCAGATTTAAAAAAAAAATTTTTATGAATTTCTAACTAAAAATAATTTTCAAGATTTCGTGGTTTTTCCGTATTTTGCCAATATTTGAACTTTAAATGCTTATAAAAAAAAACTGTGACTAAGGATTTTTAATATTTTTCAAACGTCTTTGTAACAATATAATAGGATCTTTGTATTACATTTTCAAGCATTTTTAACAAATAAAGTTTTATTGACATTCAAAGAAAAAAAACCTAAAAAAAGTTTGATACTGAGTATATTCGTGATAGGCTCAAAAAAACAGTCGAAATTATTTGAAAATTTTTTTCATGTAAGAAAAGGATTATATAAACATTCAGTGAAAATTTCATGTATTTACGATCATTTGTTTTAGAGTTACACCAAAAGCCAAAATCGATTTTGTCAAAAACCGATTTCGCGTAAACATTCCCGTTTTTCCTTAATTTTAATGTTGTTTTTCCCGGCCCAGTGAAAACTATTGGGAATTTAAAAATTTGACCTCCCGAACGCACCAAATAGAATCACTTTCCCATCAAACAAGATACTGTTGAAGACAATCGAAGCAGTTTTACTGCCCTAATCCGTGATGACGGACACAAAAATAAAAAATAAAAAACACATCAACGTAAAATCAATACATTCATCGTTCCACTCAGAATCTAAAATATATTAATGAAGTATAATAAGAAAATATATTCCTCATAAATTTAGTATAACAATAAGAATACTTTTGATACTCAAAAAATGTAAAAATTCAAGGCAGGGGCGACTCCAGAGACATGGTTATTAGGGGGGAGTTCAAGTTATAGTTTTCTGGTAGTTTCAATGATTTTATTTTTTGTAATTTTGTTTTTAACAGTATAAAATTGTTAAGAAATACAGCCTATGGGGCCGTGGCCTCTAGGACCTACCCTGGAGCCGCCCCTGACTGAAGTCCAGAGATATTTATAATAGCTAATCCCCACACCATTAATATTGTTCTGTGGTTTAATTGTCAGAGCACCAGTGATATCTGGATATATCCCAGAAAGGGTATTAATGTAGTATGGAATACTCCAGTTGGTGAGAGAGCGCTTTTCGATCGCACATCCAAATGACGGAACTCCGCTGTTTCGTAACAAAATTTCTCCCATTCGCTGAGGCAAGTCTACGGAACTCTCATGGTGACATTGATGGCAGCCAGCGTTTGGACCGGTTTAGTGTTGGGAATGGGCGAGATCAGACAAATTATGGTTGCCGCCCAGAAGTGCCCTCTCACCGGCCGGAGTATAGTGATTTTTTTATGCTCATAAGTTTTATCGAGCCATTGAGGTTTTATTAAATGTCAAATAGAAATATTATACATAAATAATAAGTAATATAGTTGATGGACATTTTAAAACAATGACATGAAACACATGAAGAGGAGACCATCCATCAACAGAACCTCAGAATTTAAAGTAAAAAAATTGTATAAACTATTTATTTTACGCCTCTGATGGGGGCAATGGGGTAATTCTATGTAAAATTAGTTTTTCAAAGACCTTTGCAAAAGTGACCCGTAAACTAATTGGTAAATTTATGTATAACTTAAAAAATAACTTAATATATATTATTTACCTTAAGGAATTATTACAAATACAAGTAATTCTGCAGTCTAAAAACAGCGAACAACTTTCAACAGGTTTTTTACTACCATTGAGTTCCCATACTGTAACATGGCCATCACTTAGTGCTGTTACAAGTCTATTATCAACTTTTATTAGACACTTTACTCTAGTATCTCCAATTTTAATTTCCCATATGTTTTCTTTATTAATTATATCGTAACAATGTAGTGAACCATTTTCTGAGCCATAGCATACCAAATGTTCCTGCAACAAACAATCAACAATTACCTTACATATTGTAATATAACAAACAAATATATTAAATATAATTGTCACCAACCGCTATAAATGTGACACCGTGTATTTTATAACTGTCTTCAATTGTAATAGCAATACCTGCAGTTTCTACATTAAAAATCATTAACTTAGTATTCAGAGGTAGACCATAATACTGTCCAGCTGGAGACCAAATTATATTATCAAAAAAATAATAAGAACTCATACTAATAAACAAAAATAAATAAGTAAATTGTTAAAAAAATAATCTGTGAATTAATTGTGGTTTGTGCACTTACCTAGACTGATTAGTTGTGTACGCAGGTCTACCTTTAACTAAATTCCAAGTTCTAAGAGTTTTATCTTTTCCGACAGATAATGCTAGTTTGCCACTAGGATGAACTGCTAGGAAAGAAACGGCTATAACAATATTAAAAAACAAAAACATGTTAACGTATTTTGTTAAAAGTTTAAAATCAAATAGTCACTACTAAATTGATATACGCTACTCTTTTAGAATTTAATCATCAACCTACCTGATCCTTTATGAGCTTTGTCCCATAACTTTTTTAGCTTCCATGTACCAGTCTCAAACATTGCTATTGAACCATCATCACTAGTACTAATTAAATGTGATTCATCTGGTGTGAATGCCAAAGATGTAACTGTGCCGCTGTGCTGTAGTATGGTGTGAACGTGACATCGCCTGACCATATTATATACTTCAATAGTCTCATCTGTACTACTTGATACCATATACTTCGACGAACATGATACCGAACGTATACTAGCTTGATGAACATGATCATTAAATGATTGCACCAGCTCTAGTTCCTTAGACTGCTGAATTATACGACAAAATTAATTGGAATTAAATTTATATTACATACTTATATACAAGAATTATAACTGCACTAAACAGATTAATGGGAATATTTACTTGGTTTTTGAAGCGACATTTTACACCAATCACAAATGATTCATAACTTCCGAGAATGATTTCAAAAATATCCATAACTACCTTTAATTACGAGAATATTAAGAACGTAATATTAAAAACAGACAAAAATAAAACCACGTTTTAGGATTGTAATTTGTAATGTGTACAAAATTGTTAGCATGATAAATGATAATATAGATTGTTGTGTAGTGATATCATAGAGTGATTAACACTTGTACGAAAAATGATAAGAGAGGTTTACGGTTGTTACCCCATAGAATAATATATTACTCTATGGGTTACCGATTGACCAACTTGAGAGTTGTGGTGGTGTCGACCAGACTGTTTTTCGGGACTTTTTCGTTTTATTTATCCGAGCGCGGAGCAGCGAGCAAAGGGCCACGCGGTCATTACTGTAAATAATTTACGTTTTTTTTCACATTGGCGTCACTGCTTGATGACTGGTATTGCTGGTATAAACATCCTTATCATTTTTTACTCGTTTAGAAGTTTTTCCCCAACACGCCAATGGACGGCGGACCATATATATAATATATACTTATCTATGCGGCTGACATCCGCGCGTAGAATTTAGAGATTTCTGAACGTATTATTATTTATTTACTTGAACCCGGATACCTTTAAGTTGACATTTACGATTTGTGATTCATAAATTCATTCAAAACGTTAGATTAGGTAAACGACAGGTCATCTTGTCCGCGAAGTGCATAACATTACATTCGGTATTCCTAGTTCCAGATTATAATGGCCGACGTTTTAGACTTGAACGCTGAAGATTTCGTGGAAGAGGATGACGGTAATATAAATGTGTTTGTATATTATTTACTCTAAGACCTAAGTAGCTTTAAAAATATGGTGGATAGATAGGTGAGTATTGCATGCTCGATTTATTAATTTACTCAATCATACGATTACCATTTACCATAAAAAATATAAAAAAAAATAGTAAAAAATACGTGCTCAACTACAATACTACCTACATACTAATTCACATATAATTATGGATTGATAACACTAACTATTTAAATAATTGGTACTTCCGGGTTATCTCGACTACCCAAATATTCCCAAGACTACCTGTTGGAATCATCCGGGTTATCTCGACTACCTCCGTAGACCGTAATTTATTAATAAATATATATTCCAGCGAATTATTAAAATCATCCGTCTTCAATCACTATACTGTCAATCATACATACAATTTTGTTGACCCAACCACAGGAGCACACACCCAAACAATTGAACGCCTTTGGGGATCGGCAAAGTGGCGAAACAAAAAACATAGGGGAACAGCTCGCCATCATCTAGATTCATACCTGACTGAATTTGTTTGGCGACAAAACCTTGGTAACGATCCACCGTTTAATAAGATTTTAATGGATATTAAAACCTGCTTTCCTCCTCAAAAAAATTATTACTACATTTTTTATTTATTTTTATATTATATTATATTATTAAAATTTTTATATTATATTATATTATTACAATTTTTTCTATACACATTTTTATGCCATTTTATCATGTTTCAAAATAGATTTATATTATTATTCAAAATAGATTTAACCTATATATTTTATATATTTTTATTAATTAAAAAATTGCGGTAGTCGAAATAACACGGTTGATCATATAATAGGTAGTCTTGGAAATATTTTGGTAGTCGAGATAACACGGTTGTGAACCTAAAGTAGTCGAGATAACACGGAAGTACCAAATAATTCAATGAAAAATACTTATTTTAAGTTTGTTTACATGCACAGTGTATTCAAATTTTTTTACAACCTTGATATGCAAATATATTTTCCTACCATTACCTAGCTGAAACAAGCTAACTTTCATGTTGATACTTACACTAATTTCTCACTGAACTTTAGTGTTGTGCTAAATAACAATGTATGACTGTTGTATAATTATCTGTTGCTTAATATCTATTAAATTGAATTGTCCAACCTCTACATCTTAATGTTGTTTTCAATTTTAAAATAACAATATTCTTTTACTATTATGAAGTTTTTATTGTATTTTTGACACTGTTTTATTAAAATCCATCTACTAATTTTAAATAGCATAGTAACTTATTAAGGACAATATTTTATAATTCTAATTAATATACCCTTACTTATGTAGAAAGAAAACCAATATATATATTTATAAAAATGCACTATATTAACTGCAGTGGTGTGTTGATTTTGATTTTGAAGGGCAGTTTCCTGATAATTTTGGAGGATTAATAAAGGGGTGGTGAATATGTGAGTTCTGAATTTAGTGAGAAATTGTAGTACAAGACTAACTTCATTTGAATATAATATTATTTAATCAAAATAATAAGTATTAAATTAAGTACTCAAAGGGTGGTAGGTTATTCAAACAATGAATTGCTCAATTGCCCAATAAAATATTTCACTTTGACATATCTTTGATATTAAGTGTAAATTATATTATTGATTCTATAATAATAGCAATTGTAAAAAATTTATTTAATTAACAATGTGTACTTTTTTATTTTCATTTTTATTGAAAACTTCATTCAATTTATTTTCAACTTCAGTAAATTTGGTGATGGAAAACTTAATAGTTGGTCAGTAATTTTCAAAAACATCAGGGCTAAACAAAAAGAAAAAAAATTTAATATAGTATATTATAATGTAGTTCATACTGCAAGATGTACATTTAAAAAAAACACTGTATTCAAAATATGTACATTAGAACATTAACTTTGCAACATTGTTTTTATTTATTTATTGTATTTTAAAAGTTTCAAATACACTGGAGTAGTATTTTTAAAGACTATAATCTAAAAATAAACACAATAAAATGAAATACATTGATAGAGTTGAACTCTCTGGAACTAAAAAAATAATATATAATCAAAATCATTAATTTTAGAGGGAGTCTCGAAGCTTAAAGATAAAGCCAGGAGAAGGAAAGGACGTGGATTTGATGACAAATCTAAAAGAGATGATATTAAAGATGAAGCCATGGAATTTGATTCTGTCGATCAAAATGATGACGAGGGCCCTGGACCACAAAGATGTAATTATACCATTTTCATAAAATTTTAAATATTATTAACATCATTTTTTTTTTCAGCTGTTGAAGGTTGGATTTTGTTCATTTCTTCTTTACATGAAGAAGCACAAGAAGATGATTTACATGATAAGTTTGCTGAATTTGGAAAAATTAAAAATTTACATTTAAACTTAGACCGTAGAACTGGATTTTTAAAAGTAATTATTGTTAAGTATTTACTTTATTGTTATATTATTAATGTTTTAAATTTCTTTTTAAGGGATATGCTTTGGTTGAATATGAGTCATATAAGGAAGCATCTAGAGCACGTGAAGGACTTAATAATACAGATATTTTGGGACAGCAAATAAGTGTAGATTGGTGCTTTGTGAAAGGACCAAAAAGGTATTGTTTAATAACAAACTCATCATTGTATTATTTATTTTAATTTATTAATATGTTATTTTTAGGATTAAAAAATCAAGACGCCGAATGGCTAATTATTAACCAAGTAATTGAAACTCAAGATATGTAAAAAAAAACTTACACTTTAATTAAGTTCTTTTTTTGTAATACATTTAATACTATAAACAATTTTTTCATGACTTATATTTAAAAAAAAATAAAAGTATTTTAACTTATGTATTGATGAATTAATATTTTATAAGTATAAATTTAAAAAAAAAAATGAAAGTCGGTAACGCTCTGTTGTACATTAGGTGTCTAGAGAAATCAATGCAATCGATTTGTTAAATTTGAATTCAATGATTTAAAATCATTTAATACGAAAAACGATTCTAAGGGAAGACGGTCAGCCTATAATATTACTAAGTATATTGCATGATATTATTGTAATCAAAGTATTAAGTAATATATTTTACTACTAGGCATTAGTACTACAGTAGATTGAATTAATTTTTGCCAAAAAAAATTTCATTTGAAAATGTTATTGTGTGTATGAAACTATAAAACTTTAAAATATAATAATATATTATTTTAAAAGTTTCAAGTACAAAGGAATAATATACCTATTTAAATTATAGGGCTGGATGTAAGTCACTTTTTTAACTAAAAGTAGCCTTTTTAAAATTTAGTCACTTTAAGTCACTTACTTATACTTACCAAAATTTAAATTACTTTGTACAAGTACAAAAATTAATGCATTTATAATTTTATATTGTTTATAAAAAAAAAATTAGCATTATCATTATTATTATCTTAATTAAAATAAAGAAAGTTCCTAAACAGTGATCTTGAGTATTATTCTATATTATAGACATTATTAATTTAAAAAGGTTACATGATTTAATTATTTGATATTAAAATTTGTGTTTATTATAATCATTATTTTCTGTAATTTCTACAAAAATAAGTAAGTTAGAATCAATTAAATAAATAAATTATACATAAGGATTCAAAGACAAATGTTTAATAACAGTGAGTTGTTATGAAACAAATTTATGTAGGTCACTTTTTGGTCACTTTTATGATTAAATTCAGTCACTTAGTCACTTTTTCAAATAGCTTTAACCACATCGAGCTCTGAAATTACAACAAAACAACTAAAATCATTTTTCTTTGTTTTAAATTTTTAATTCTAAACTATAAATACATTCATTGTTTCACTTAGAATCTAAAATTGAAATGTATTTAAAATAATGTAGTAAAAGCTGGAATCTACAGTTTATACTAATTTATAATCCAATTAATGTAGTAACTATTAAATTCATCATTGAATGATTATTAAGAGGTTACTTTGGGGATAAATGTCAAAAGTATTAATGTAAATTAAATTAGGAATCATTGAAAAACATTATGTGAAAGGAACAAGATTACTGCTAATATTAATGTCTTAATTATTATTAACAAATAAACGTACCTATGTCACATAACTTTTATAAAATAATTATTCATGAAAAAAAATCCTAACAATTTAATCAAGGATTCTCATAAATTGATCTTACAGCAGCCTAAAAACACCAAAAATACATTACATTACAACACTTATGCATTACAGTATTACACCTACCAAATTGAAATTTTGACAAATTCTCTAGACAATTTCTTATTAATAACTGTAATTTTTTTTCCAAATTCTACGTTATAAGTTGTAAACAACTATTAATTTCTATTGTTCATATAATATCTATATTAAAAAAATTTAAATATTACCTAAAAAAATGTTCACGGAATGGTCTCAACTGCCTATCCTGACATGTACCTACACACTTATGAATAATATACTTATATAGTCGTATAGACGTAGTTACATACAGTGCCGGCGCTAGGGGAGGACAAATGGGACATTTGTCCAGGGCCCCGCGCTTGTTAAAGGGCCCCGTGATTTTTAATTATCATCTTAATACGAATACCGTGGTCTACCGTCGTATATATTGCATTATTCTGCCTGCAGCGGTCGCGTACTTAGATATTAAACAATTTATTATTTTATTCAAACATTTTGATGAATTAATTTATTTTTAATTGATGATTTTATGTAGTTGTTAAAATAAATGTAAATTAATAAAATAACCAGCCCTTATGAATTTATTAGCCTACGATTTTCCACTCAAAGGTTTAACTGAAACTCACGCTTCAGGAGGAATCGCACTCGAATGTGTTGTCTCCGTTTACACAAGTAGGTAAGGTAAAGTGGGGTAAGTGTGACGCAAAAATGAAAAGTTAATTTTGAATTTGACAATACTTTTTTGTTTTTAACTTAAAGTTGTTATTGTTCCATAATGTAACACCTCTAGATATACATAATTGGAATTTATAGTCAACAAAGTTATATTATTATGGGGCAAGTGCAAAATCGGATTGTTTTTGCTATTAGTATTAAATAAAATTATATATGGGGCAAGTGAATAACAAAGATAAAAATAAGCTTTAATTTGATTTTTGTTTCATTAAAATATCTTGATTCATTAAGAATTGACAGAGCATTATTTAAATTTAATTATTTACCTATATTATATATAAAAACAGTACTTTTTTTAAAATCCTGATTTAAAAAAAAGCTAAAATTTCACTACTCTGAGAACCTAAAGGCTATTACCTATGACCAGGGACCCGCAATACCTAGCGCCGGCACTGGTTACATAATATAGGTAGGTACCTATAAATAGTGTAATACATACACGAATACGTTACCTATTATGTCCCCTAAAAATTCAACATCTATTATTATATTTATTTATTTTTTACATAATATAGGTAGGTAAATAACAAATCTCTAGTTAAAATCACATTTATTTTTATTTTTTTGAAAACAATGTTTCAAAAAGTATTAATTAATATATAATTTTATTAATTTATTTGTATAGTACCTATTTATTAATTATTGAAATAAAATTTAGATAAAAACACCAGCTATAATTAAAATCCAATGTAATGTATTGCAACGTGTGTATTTAAATTTTAAATCCATGTAAAAACTATTAAAATATAAACGAACAAACAATTCTGAGTGAAGACTGTAATAAATAATAATATCGTGATTGAAGTAATTTATTTTACTATTAGGCATTAGTACAACTTACAGTAGGGTAAGTAATTTTTGCCAAAAAAATGTATATGAATTATATAGGTAAACCTACTCAAAAAGTTTCATACATCCACGAATACTATTTTTAAATTATCCTCACTCCTCAGCATCAATGCATAAGAAATTATTATTTATAATTAGGTCGCGGATTTAAAAATAAATTGCAATTTTTTTTAAATCTTTTTAGATTCTGAGTGAAACGATGAATGTATTGATTTTACAATGATGTGTGTTTTTTTTTTAATTAATTTTTTTTTTTTTTTGTGTCTGTCATCACGTTTTAGGACAGTAAAAGTGCTTGGATTTTCTTCAACAGTAGCTTTTCTGATAGGAAAGTGAATCTAGTTGGTACTTTGGGGGGTTAAAAGTGAAAATTTCTCAGAAGTTCACAAGCGCCGGGAAAAACAACATAAAAATTAAGGAAAAACGGGAATTTTTACGCAAAATCGGTTTTCCAAAAAATCGATTTTGGTTTTTGGTGTAACTCTAAAACATATATAACGTATATACATGACATTTTCACTGGTTGTTTATATTTGCATTTTCTATACACGATAACATTTTCAAAATATTTTGATTTATTTTGAACTGTTTAGGGACATTTTCATTTTCCATTTTTTTTTAGTTTTTTTTCTAAAAATATCAATTAAATTTTATTTGTTGGTTGCGGAAGCTTGAAAATTTAATAGAAGGCTCCTAGTATATTGTTTCAAAGTCAGATGAAAAATATTAAAAATCCTTAGTCACAATTTTTTTTTTATAAGCATTTAAAGTTAAAAAATTAACAAAATATGGAAAAATCACGAAAATTAGCAAATTATTTTGAGTAAGGAATTCGTAAAAATTTTTCTTTTTAAATCTAAGGTTTTAAAATGTAATACAAAATTCCTTATAAGATTATCTACCTTTATCAAGAAATTAATGTCTATAGGAAGTCAAATTAAATTTTTATGAGCGTTTGAAATTCAAATTTTAACAACATTGGATATTCACTCGATTCATCATGTAGCGATTTCCTTATTTTGTTGTAATTCAAAAACGAATAACTGTAGATACATGAAAATTTCACTGAATGTTTATATTGAGTTGTTTACGGACATTTACAGCTTTTAATTTTTTATAGTTTTTTTTCTTTAAATATCAAATATATTTCGTTTTTAAATTACCTCTATTATCATTGAAACAACTACAGTATACATCCATACCAATAGTGTAGGTAATAGGTATACAATATTATTGCACAGTGGCGTACACACGGGGGGGGGTTTTGGGTGTTCAAACCCCCCCCCCTTTAGTATTTTTTCAGTTTACGTAATAACGTAAAAATGTATAATAAAAATGATGACAATTTAAAAAAATATTATATTCCAAATTATACTCCATTATACTATAACTTATAAGCAACCCAGTTTGTTGTTATAATATATTGTAGATATTATTGATAACTTGTTACAAATTAATGAAATTATTGGTAAATTTGTTCAAACACAAACATGAGGGTCGACAATCGTGTAATCCGATATAATATGCCTTAATAGCTATCGCAGTATCGCTAATACTATAGTATATAATCTATTTCTCAGTTTTAATCAAATTCCTGACGCTTTGGACGTTTAGTAAATTGTACTTACTGTTTAAATATTTTATAAAACAATAAAAATTAAAAGAATAAACGAATATTTTTCTAACTCACTAATTTATGATACAATTAACTCGGAGGAACCAGGTATATTTAATACCGTCAAACCGGGTTACTTGGGACATGTGGATAACTTGAATACAAATTATATAGTATTATCAATGATAAGATTTGAGCGCTAGAAATGTTGTTATCACTACCGTATAATCACACATTTGTTTATTATCACTTTCACAACGACCGTCGTGCTGTCCGGACGTGCTCTCAAGATAAGTACTCTATTAAAAAATATTAAAGTTCATTTAGGTTTTATTGTGATATAAAAGCATGTAAAAGTATGGTTTGCATATGACATACTGTTTGCTGAATGTAAATGTGAGTTTGAACACAGGATGTAATAACAGGTCATGATTAATAACAATATTTCAAAGTTATCATTTTTATGTGGGATTTGTTGGTTATCACAAATTTGAGAGGGAAAATTTTTTTTATGCTTACTTGGGACAATGTCTCAAGTTAGATGTAGTGTCCCAAGTTAGTTTTAATATTATTTAATATCACTCATTCAAACTTTTTTTCGGTCTTATCTCTAGGTAGGTATTTATAATTAAGATTCGAAATGGCAAAATATGTAAAAAAAAGTTGGTGGAAGACCGTATCAAAATTATTCGGAAGAAACTTTAAAAAAAGCCGTAATGGAATTAAAGACAAAAAAAATAACTTTTCGGGATGCAGAAAAAAAGTATAGGATATCAAAGTCTACTCTGCAAAGAAAAGTAAATAATAAAAATACGATGAAAGTGGGCGGACCAAATACATTGTCGGAAAAAGATGAAGAAAATCTAGTTAAGGGAATATGTTTGTCTAGTAAATGGGGATTTCCTTTTACATCTATGGATATCCGGTTATTGGTACAACAATTCCTGAATAAAAATGGTTTTAAGGAAAAACGGTTTACAAACAATTTACCCGGATATGAATGGTTCAAACATTTTTTAGATAGACATAAATCTATATTAAGTGAGCGATTAGCCGAAAATATAAAGAGATCAAGAGCGGAAATCAACCATGAATCTATAAAAAAATATTTTGAACACTTAAAAAACTCGTTAGCCGGAGTTTCTGCAAATTTAATTATTAATTATGACGAAACCAATATTACTGACGACCCTGGGAAAGCCAAGATAATAACAAGGAGAGGTTGCAAACATCCAGAACGAATTTTAGACTCGTCTAAATCTAGTGTATCCGTAATGTTTGCTGGAACAGCCTCCGGGTATTTATTACCACCCTATGTGGTATACAAAGCGGAAAACTTATATGATAGTTGGACAGAGGGTGGGCCTAAAGGAACTAGGTATAATCGTTCCAAGTCTGGATGGTTCGATGGTGTTTTAATATGTTTTATTTCATTTTATATTAACAAGTATGTTATTTTGGTTTTGTTATTGTATTAAAAGTTTTTTAATACATACACTTATTTAAGTCAACATTCACATTTTTTTTAAAAACAATTATTAAGTCCCAAGTTAAATAATATCAAAGTTAACTTGAATTTTACATAGAAATATATGGGTGTCCCAAGTTACCCAAAAATCAAGGTAACTTGGGACAAGCATATTTTTTTAAAAAAAAACGGGAAGGGGGGAGGAATCAAAAAAAAAAACATATGAGTCTCATAGTCTAAGTCAAGACCAGCATTTTTGTTCATTACCATTATTAATATATTTTGAAAACTTTTCGATCAGTATTCATCCGAAGTTCAAAAGTGTCCCAAGTAACCCGGTTTGACGGTACATTATATTATCAATCCTAGGACCTAGGTACAAAAAAATGATTAATATGGTAAAAATAAATTTCTCTTTATACCTATCTTTTATTGAATTGTATATAATATATTATTATTAGGGCTGGGATTTATATGTAATAAAAAACCAAAAATATGTACATATATATGTAATTAAAATTGCCAAAATATGTAGTAAAAAATAAAAAATATGTGGTATAAAATAAAAATTATGTACTAAGAAAAATTTAAAAAATACCTATGTTAAAGTTTTAAATAAAAATACAATTCTAAATAATTTTTGATCATAATTGAAATACAATAAATTGATGTTTATTCAATTCTAAGGGAAACAATGACAAACCATATATTGTTTTAAATTTTCAAAATTAAATGTACGGCGATTGGTCTTAACACTGACTTATACCTACTAAAGGAGCGTTCCACATCACAAGATGTTATCGGAGCATACTTCATGGCTGTTATTTCACTAGGTGAAAGATTGAGCTCCGTCGTGTCTTCAACCGCAATACCACAAAGAATGTTTCTTATACATTTAATGGTCTTCAGTCCCGAATTTTTGTTTAAAACGACGTTCATTTTATTCTTTAATAATTCTGCTGTTGGGCCCTCTGATTCATTAAATTTTTAAATTGATAAATCAATAATTTGTATGCTTTCACTCAACGGAATCTTGGTGTTTTCTAATTTTGAAATTGATTCACCCAAAAAAACTAAAATTAGACACAATATATGATTGATCAGACTTTATATTAGGTCTCTCAAAAATTTCTTTACCCTTGGAAATTGATGCTGCATGTTCAGAATCCAACATAGATACTATATTTTTAATTTCATCATACAATTTGGAATAATAGTTTAACGCTTGTAACCATGTCCCCCACCTTGTTATAATTGGCTCTGGAGGAAGCGGGATGTTTGGGTAGTTATTTTTGAATATTACTAAACCACTGAAATTGTCAAAATTTACGAAGTATGTAAATAAAAACGAAAATTTTACTAAGTATGTAAAAATATGTATTTATGACGATATATGTAAAAATATGTAAAATAAAATATGTCTTATTTTATTGCAAATCACGTGAAACGAATTTATCATTTGCAATAATTAATTTATCGTGTTTCACTAAAAATATGTATTTACATACAAATCCCAGCCCTAATTATTATATACATATTGTATGTACGCGTGTAACTTTGTAGTTATACTAAATAATTACCTGTAGGTAATAGGTATATATTTTTTAAATAATAATCGAGAATTGTAAAAATATTTTTAATTTCACCTTAAGTCATTGCTAATGAGCCGATTACTCATTAATTACAAAATAATTACTATAGGTACATCGTTTTGATTCATCAATGTATTATATATATATGTATATAATTTTTTTATATGTAAGCCCCCCCCCATTGAAAATAGCTGTGTACGCCACTGTTATTGCATGCATATTGTATAGTTTGTTTTTCATCTGAATTTAGTCTGTTAGATGAAATGATTGAATGAAAAATCATAAAATTATGAAACGATGCACTATAGAAAGTAAATTATAATATGTATATGAATCTTATACGTTGTACGTATGGCGTTACGTAATATATGTATATTGCATATTTTCTTTTAATATTGTAATAAAATATTTATAGTATAAAAATAATAATGGTTGTTGGTTTAAAGAATTTATATCATAACAAGTGAAACCTATTATTATATAATATTATTATGTTGGCTGAAAAGTAATGTATAAAAACTGTCCTGGCCACAATAGGTGTACCTACAACACATGTTAGCTTTTTTCATCGTCTTTTTTATTGGACAGTTGTTTATATTTTTATTCCGTGCAAATTCATGAGTTTCTATTTTCATTTTTTTCGACCGTCAACGGTCATAATTTGTTTTAGTTTCCATAGTCGATTTAATTTTTTAGCGAGCAATTTTAAAATTAGTTTAAATGTTTCTTCATAGTTTCTAAAGTAATTTATTTTGATTAACGTTCAATAATAATATGTATCGTGATTGGACTTGAATACTATTCTGGCGTTTCGGTACCTGCGTTTCGAAGTATGCACATCAAGCTAGCTATTGTATTCAAAAACGGCGAACAAGAAAGTCAATTATACAACGGATACGTGAAACGAATATTCCTTTAGAGCAGTCAAATTTTGATTAAATGAAAAGCGGTGAGTTGTGTTGATAGCATACTACTATATTATCTTGCTTAGTTTAGTTAATTATTTTTAGAAATAATATTTACTCTGTACACCTGTAGGGCGTAGGCTGTAAGTCCTCTTAGTTTTCTTCTTAAACAAAATATTTGATACATTTAGCCTTATAAATTTAGTTTCACTCCCACGTGAATTTATCAATATTTTTTTTCGGACACCTATTTATTAGAACCATTTTAAAACGATGGCGCAGAAGTTATTTCCGGAAATCATTAGTTTTTATGGTAGCGTGCTTAACTAGATAGGTACGTTAAAAAAAAAAGTTCAGTAAAACAGAAAAGTTCCTAACGCCCGATAACATAATATTTGCATTGTACGAATGAGTAAAACACCAAAAATCGTGAACTATGTAACTCTATAACTTAAAAAATGATGATTTCCGTTAATTTCTAGTTGTAATTTATACATAGGTAATATAATAGGTTTCCTAAAAAAAATTGAAAAATAATTATTCTTGTGTACGCTAAACTAGATTTATTCCCAATAAAATAAAATTATTATAATTAAATGTAAGTACAGTAGTACATATATTATATTTGTTAAGTGTTCATGTGGGGGGGGGGTTGACCATTAATATCAAAAACCAAATAAAATTTAAATGTTTTTAAAAAAAAAAAAAAACTATTCCATAGTTTTTAGACTACAAAGTGATGGGCAGCTGACTTCGAAGTGGAAAAATTGGGTTTAGTAGACAAGGTATATTGTTTTTTTCGATGATGTGATAGGTAATATATATCAGTCGGTGACTTCAACTGTATAAGAGTTAATATTATTATGTATTTTATGTCGTTTTGATTTTTTAGCAAATTATTTTCGTAGTATAGCCAGTCATTACACAAACATGGATGACAATATTATAATATCATGTTATCGTATTGGAAACCCACAAATCTACTGCAAAATTTTAATTTATGATAATGTTATACATCCTTTAAATTCATATATTTTTAATATTTTTTATGAACATGTTTTCAAATCGAAATGGTGTCACTGCGAGCTTTCCGAACAGGAAATTTTATAAATCTAATATAACGCAAGTGGGCCCAATACACACATGAGTTGGTAAATGATGAACGTGTACGCCGTGGGATTTTGAACTGAAAAAAACCCATTCAATATAGTTTTCAATCATTGTAAATTGATCTATTGCAATACCGAACCTGTGAGAACGAACCTTTATATGCAATACACTAGCACACTTTAGAACTGGTATGTAATGTAGATTGGCCGTATTATAATTGTGATTTAACAAAATCTGCAGTAATATAAAATAATTATTATTATGCACCTAGACATTACAACAAATCGATTTTTTTCAGGTCATCTTCTATACGATCCGAAATTAATTGACGAAAAATCGAGTATAATTTACAATACATCGTCGGGAGGAAATCATTCCACTTGATTAAACGTTACCTGTACGATTGTTGAGAATTCAATATCAGCGTCGATTAAATTATAATAAAATGTACCTCGAGTAGAGCTTAGTGGAAAATGTTATTATGGTTTTTTATCAAAATAAATAAATCAAAAGTGTTGCAATTGCAGCCATACGATACACACCATTGCAAATATCAAATAGTCATTTTAAGTTCAAATTTGGACGAAATTGCATTATAATAACTATTTTAGTTATTTTGTTGTGATTGTATAATATTATTCGTGGGTCGTACATGGTCATAGGTACGTCCCTAATTCCTATAATAATAATATTAGATGAACAATAGAAGTTAAGTTATTACATTAAACTAATAGTTACCTATAACTTATAAGGTTGGATTTGAAAAAAAATTACCAGTTATAAATTATAATTGTATCTTATGACTATTATCAGTTATAACATATATTTCTATAAATTAAACCAAAACATTATGTATATTTCAAGTACCCTATATACAGAGTGTAACAGAAAGATATGACATATAGGTACATATACTGGAAATGTTCCTAAACAGTTCAAAACAAATCAAAATGTTTTGAAAATATTATCGTGTATAGAAAATGCAAATATAAACTAACAGTGAAAATTTCATGTTCATTTGTTTTAGAGTTTAACCAAAAACCAAAATCGATTTTATCATATCTTTCTGTTACACCCTGTATAGGTAATAATTATAGTAAAATATATAATTGCAAAACATTCAATACCTACATCTAGCCATCTAGGATAAAAACTACACTAAAAAAGGTGTAAGTATGATAATAAAATAAATGAGGTGTATAATGTATTTATATATATATTTATATTATATACTATGTAAAATTGTAAGGGGTTTTCTACGATCGCGCTAAGCAAGAAAACTGCTGAACCTATTTGGCTGAAATTGTTTTAGTGCCACTTTTGTTAATAAAAAATAAGTATAAAGTTCTTGAAAAATTAAAAAACAAAGCTAATCTAATCCTTATATATATATACCTATAAAA